CAGCCAAGGCCCAGATCGTGAGGAGCAACCAGCCCAGCTCAGCCGTCCATTCGAGTACTGTAATCCCAACCGGCGCTTACAGCCAGGTTGCCCACTCGATGGCCAGCAAGTACCAGTCGGCGTCGGGGGAAATGGGGGTTAGCCAGAGCAGGTTGGTCTACCAGGGCTCCATCGGCGGCATCGTTGGTGACAGCAGGCCGGTGCAGCACGTTCAGGCGAGCCTCAGCGCGGGAGCCATCTGTCAGCACGGAGGGCTGGCGAAAGAAGACCTTCCGCAGAGACCGTCCTCAGCGTACAGGGGAGGGATGAGATACAGCCAGACACCTCAGATCGGGCGAAGCCAGTCCGCTTCCTACTATCCTGTGTGTCACTCAAAGCTTGACCTGGAGCGTTCTTCCCTCCCCGCCAACCAGCTGGGCTCTCCAGATGTGTCTCATCTCATAAGAAGACCCATCACAGTTAACCCCAGCGAAATCAAGCCTCACCCGCCGACTCCAAGGCCCCTGCTCCACTCTCAGAGCGTCGGCCTCCGCTTCTCTCCTTCCAGCAATAGCATCTCCTCCACCTCCAACCTGACTCCCAACTTCCGCCCCTCTGCTTCGATTCAGCAGATGGAGATTCCTCTCAAGCCAGCTTACGACAGATCGTGCGATGAACTTTCTCCAGTCTCTCCCACGCAGGGGGGTTACCCCAGCGAGCCAGCCCGATCCCGGACCACGCCGTTCATGGGAATCATAGATAAAACCGCTCGGACTCAGCAGTACCCCCACCTCCATCAGCAGAACCGGACCTGGGCTGTGTCGTCAGTGGACAGTGTCATTAGTCCTACATCTCCTGGCAATCTCCCCCAGCCGGAATCATTTAGCCCGCCTTCTTCAATCAGCAACATTGCCTTTTATAACAAAACCAACAATGCACAGAATGGCCATTTGCTAGAGGAAGACTATTACAGCCCCCATGGGATGCTGGCCAATGGGTCCCGGGGAGACCTCCTGGAGAGAGTCACCCAAGCCTCCTCGTACCCCGACGTCAAGGTGGCAAGGACGCTGCCTGTGGCGCAGGCCTACCAGGACAACCTCTACAGGCAGCTCTCCAGGGACTCCAGGCAAGGGCAGACATCCCCAATCAAACCAAAGAGACCATTTGTGGAGTCTAATGTGTAAAAGACGCTTGTTGGAGTAAGACCCTCATGTTTTCAGCACACACTTCCAAGCTTGATTTCCATGCATATTATTATTCTTATGATTATTATTATTGTTTTTATTTCTCTTTGGTAGCTACATGACCAAGTTTCTCCAGTACTTTGTGTGGTGGTCAGACAGCCATGCACGTGCTCCAGCCCTTTCGTTCCCCAGCTGACCGTGAAGCCAACATCAGCCGAGCCAGTATCGTTTGCCCAATTCCAGCCAAGTTCCCAACCAGGATATCTTAGTACGTGGCGCGGGGTGGTCCAGAAATAGCCCCTACGCAGCGGGAGGTAACCAGCTCTTTTTCAAGAGACAATCGCGTTCGATTTCAATGGGTTTCTTTTGTCTCGACGAGCTCTTACTCGATTCCAGTGGGAATTCCTAGCGGGGGTGATGGGAGCCTTTCCCAAGGCTGCATCCGCAGGTCCGCGTGCCAGCCGGGTCCTTTGGCTCTTTGCCCCCAAAGGCCAAATTACCCGCAGCAAGCAAGGGCACGATGTGTTTTAATCCCCGGTAGCTATGCACAACAACCGTCCCGCTTCACCTGCTTCGTAGCGGTTTAATCCAAATCGGATGCCTTCGTTATTTAATCGCGTCGTTGGCGAGAAGGGGTGGGAATCGTGCGACGCTTCGCTGCTCTGCAAGCCGCCTGCCGGGTGCCGATTTGCTCGGGGGGGCATTTTTACAAGTGTTGCGAGATGAAAGCTGGCCCTTTATACGCGTTTTAATCAGCCGAGGGAATTGGCAAGAAACCTCTTGCACGTGATCTGGGATTGCGACTTCTTTACGCCGTTAGCAGACGACTGCACCTCACACACAACACCACGTTTACACCGGGATGGTTTAATATTGGGGGTTTCGTTTGGTGGATTTTTTAGGTTTTTTTTTTTACTTGCAAGGAGAAAAAAATGGTATTCGAGGAGGCAAATCGCAATCTTTAATTATTTTTCTTTTTTGCGATGAGGATGCATAATGTGGCATGATGGTTCTCGAGACAGGAGGGCTCCTTCTGCAAACCCAGCCCTGCAGCAGCCCTTCCCTTCGGCTCCCCGCCCCAGGCAGCCAGTGCCACTCCCCAGAAGATCCGTTCCCAAAATCTTGGAAAGCGATCGCCATGTTCCATTCCTGTAAATGGTAGAGACCATCTCTCTTTTTAAGAGAGATTTTTTTTTTATAATTTATTTATGTTCCAGGACATCTTTTGGTTTGGGTTGAGGGGTTTTTTGTTGGGTTGTTTGTTTTTTTTTAAATCAAAGGCAAGTGTGAAAAGCAGGGGATGGTTCTAAAACCCTTTTTGCAGGTTTTTCAGTAATTTTTCAGTTACGCTCTGAATTTTTGCAGGAGGGAGTCGAGGAACTTTCTTTACAGATTCGTTTGGTGCTAGGGAGGTTTTAATCTGCCTTTTCCGTTCCTGAAAGCAAAGGGTGGGATGACCGGCCGGGGTGGGAGTGGAGAGCGATAACCCTGTAGCTTGTTGTAAAGCAAAACAGTGCCTGTTGCCTGGTGCCCAACCTCACTCATATCAACTCTTCAGAGCGATTTCAGGGCTGAGCGGGGAGGAGCAATACCTTGCGGTGTTTCCAAAGGGCTGTGTGAATAGATTGCAAGACTTCTTGGACCAAACCACGGGCTCCAACCTCTGCTGGTGTAAACGACCATATCCCCAGCACGGCATCGGTGCATCCTTTCACACCAGCTAAGGGCTTGGTCCAAAACTCTTAAGCAAACCCTGGCTTCGATGGGGCTTTATTTTATTTTCCTGTGCGTGGATCAGCACATCTCGTTGCTATTTCGTTGCCTCATTTGCTCAGAGCAAGCTGGGACGTGCACACCTGGGGACGATGGAGGCTTGTGTCTCATAGACACGCTGAGAGCGTTCGAGGAGGGGGATGTTTCCTTCGTGGGATTTGATGATTTTTGTGCTTTTTCGGGCTATTTGGCCTTTGTCTGAGCTTGTATTTGGATGGAGGTTGGCGTTCTCTTTCTCGAGGTGCAACCCAGTGCGGACTCTGCGTTCTTACAGGGCTCTGTAAAGCGGGGGGCAGGCTGGGGAACCCCTCGGTAGGGCAGGGACACAGCCCACGGGGACATTCAGCTCCGAGGAGTCCTTCTCTCCTTACAGAGGGGGTGCAAAGTTTTGGGGTTTTTTAATTCCTCTCTTTTTTAGAAGCAGCGTGTTCTGCTTCATAAAGAATAGCCAATTTCTCCTTCGCGTCCAGTGCACCGAGAGCTAGGCTGCGCTTGTCTGTGGGTCCACTTTGCTCAACGCCTCCCATCCTCCAGCTTTCCAACTAGGTGAGCGGCTTCCTCCCTTTAGTTGCGTCTTGGAAAGGAAAAAGTAACCAAATTCAGCCCCGTCCCTTTTTTATGCGGCCGAACGAGACGCGCCGCAGCCGATTCTCTCCGCTGAGCTGCGAAGGGGACGGTGTGAGAACTGCCCCTGCTTCACTTTCGCTCTTCCCTGCCCTCGTGCTCCCGGTCCCATCCTTGCAAAATGTCCCCTCACGGCGCTTCTGTGTATAGCTTTTTGGGTTTACAAAGATGTTTTAAGGGAAAAAAGAAAACAGCTCACACTTTTAACACGAACACCAAGCTGAAAGAAGGCTTGGATACTGCGGCGTGCAGGTTTTTTTCACGATACCACGTGTTACATTTTTCACAGGGTTCTTGCACTAATGGTTTTCCATCTGTTCTCTCTGTAAATGGGTGCACTTTACTGTTTGAATTTGTTACTATGATAAATACTGGATATTTAAGCGTAAGTAGTGTCTTCATTAGTAAATAGCAAAACAGCTCTTGTCTCTTAGTGTATTTTTCAAAAAAAAAAGAAAAAAGAAAAGAAACGAAGCAATGAATCATAACATTTATAGCACAAGAACTGACTCTTGTATATAAGCATCAGCAGACTGAGCAATTTTTTGAATACAAAATTATTTGCAGTGGTTTTAAAGCATTTCCCCAGCAATTCTCTTAGGGTTAGCTGAGGCAGGATGGCTGCTGTGGTCCCCGGGTGGGTATGGAGCACACCTCTCCCTGGAAAAGCCGTTCTTTGCACAGTCTCCCATGTCCCAAGTCACGGTTCAGGTTTGGCGTGGATGAAGAGCAGAGATGGTTCCGTATCGCGCCGTCACGCGTGGTCCTGTGGTGAGATGCGGTGCCGTACGCATGGCTCAGCGGGGCAGGAGGCTCGAACCTCCCCCGTCCCTGCACCCCCGGCACTTTCGATGCGGCGGGGAGTTCCAGACATGGTGCTGTCTTGTCCGTCCATGCTGTGGATTTAGTCACTCCTTGAGTAATGAAGACGTGGGACGAGGCTGCCAGCCGGCGCCTCCGTCCCCTCCCCACTGCTGGCGAGCCCCGTCTTGCAAGTGAGTAGGATTCTGAGGTGCACCAAGTCAGCCAGGTTCTTGACGGCATTGAGGTTGGGTTCTTGGGGCGCGTTGGGTGGGCGATGCTGAAGCTGACCCCCGGATTTATCCAACCTTCCCATCAGGTGTCTGTTGGCCTCTGCCCGCTGCCAGGAACTGGGTGTGCCGCCGCAGAGCTGGTATCTTCTCTCCCAGCATCAAGTGCGGGTGTCTGCCACGTCCCTCAGTGGGGATTCACTGGCTCTTGCCTTGTCTCCCAGGCTGGGAGGATGCTCTGGTCCCAGGGGAGGGCACACGTGCCTGGCAGGGTGCTCTGGAGGGATCCCCAGCAGCCACACTGGGAACAGCATCGGAGGGCTTTGAAAATAATAGTGCTTAGGAAAGGGAGGGGTTTACCAAGACAGATCCCTTGGGATCCGTCTCCAAAGGAGAAGGCTCTGGCAGCCTCAGCTGCCTTCTCCGTGCCGCTGCGTGGGAGGGCGCAGGCTGGTCGAACAAAACGAGGCGTGCGTCCGTCTGTCCGTCTGCCTCCTAGCACCGGTGCCCGCAGCTGGGTCCATCCCAAACAGTGAACTTTTCCGGTTGTTTTTTTTTTTCTTTTCTTTTCTTTCTTTAACCTGGCTGTAAAGAAAACCGCTTGGCCAGTGTGAACATTTGTGTGTGCATATGACAAAACACCTAAGCCATACTTGGATTAGGTCCAGAACCAGGGTGGCTACTAAATTTGGAGCGATTCAGTCCCCTCGTACAAAGGTTGCTGTATATTCAGGGTTACCCAGAAGAAGTCTGGCGAAAACCGAAGTGCCAGCTCCGCCTTATCTAGAGAAAAGCAAGCCGGCGTGCCTGCTCGTCCTCCGCCTTCCTTCCGAAGGGGGGTTCCATGGTGAGCTGTCGCGAGATTTTTGGTGGTTGTACTTTGCTTTAGTCTTGGGAATTCAAGATAACTCTTCTACCGGGATTAACGGTGGCTAACCAAGGGCTTAGGGGAAAAGCTGTTGTACCCGCTGGGACCTCTGCGGATAAATGCCTTCACCCCGTGCTGGTTGCTCTACGCAGAGTCTGGTGGGGTGCGTCTTGGACACAAAGCACAATGGTTGAAAGTTAAATCTGCATTTTTTTCAGATTTGTGTGAATAATTGCTGGATTTTCATTCAATCAAACTCTTTTTTCTAATATAAACCACTAAGGGCTCAATTCTTTAGCAAGATGCGTTCGCGTCTAACTCCTGACTCTATACGGCTGGATCTCACCGCAACTGTTACAGACCTACCCGAGAGAAAACACAGCGCGACCGTCACCAGGAAAGCCGATGGACACCAAACCCATCTGCCGTACCCTTTCCTCCTGCTCATTTTCTAGCTGGCACGGTACTGGGGAGTCAGCAGCCGGATCCCGTCTGACGGGATCGCATCCTATAGTCGTGAAAACAAGAGAGCTGCTTTGCCAAAAGACTTTGTGTCCCTGCCGGGTGATGCTGCCCGGGGATGGCGATGGGGCTGCGGGTCGTCTCCGCCAGTGGGTCGGGGTCGTGCTGGGTGGGTGGAAAAGCCTCGCGCCCAAGGAATCGGGTCGCTTCGCCGTGGGGCTGCCTCGCTGGGCGCTGATGAGGCCGATGCTTGCGTTTCATTGCTCCACCAATAACCCAGAGACTCGCGCGGACTCTGCCAGTACTGCCGGCGTCATCCCCGTCCAGCCTTTTCTTTCCCATAGTGTTGCATTCAGCGTTCCGTCTCCCTTCTGTCTGCACATCCGAGAGGATCTGAGTTTGGTACAAACCCGCACAGCACACACACCCTTGTGCTTTGTACAATTCCCCTGGTTGCCATCCTCCGAGACACTTGCTGGGAAGATCTTTAAGACACTTAAATTTTCCTTTAGCTTTTCTATAATTCTGATGTAAAGGACTTTCTCTCTGTACAGTATATTATTCAATGCATGTTCTGTTCTCTCTACTGATATATTGAACACCACACAGTTGTGATATTGTGC